AGTTTCATTTGTGACTGCACTAATAGAGCCAGAAAATGTATTTTATTTGACCTATTTCATGGACAAGTACTTCAATGTAAATGCATTTAAATTCCTTATATTCTTCAATCTCTTATCCTTTAACAAAAGAGTTTTGAATCTCACTGGCTCTCTCGCGTGAAGTGAATCACACTTGCTTTGTGTTGCAAGGTGTCGGGGGTCGTCATGTGACACAGCAGCCACAACAGCACTTATGTTTTATTTATTTTTTCCTGTTTATTTGAAACATTCCCAAACGCATTAACTATATTATGAAATATTTTGATTCTCACCATTATAGATTATGTTGATCTATAGTGGGCGATGGTCAAAGTAACCTAATAATGTAATCTATTAACTACGCATAAAAACCTGTCTGTTTACTTAAAGCTGCAGTCTGTAAGTTTTGCCTCTTTGGCGCCATCTCTGTTTGAAAACCTGCAATTGCAGCTGTCCGCGGAATTATCTTCCTTCCGTGGGTTGTGCACCTGCGCGGCTCCAGCACGGATGAATCTAATGTTTTGTTTAAAATACAAATCTTGTGTAATCCCAGGCTATCTATAATCAGAAGCACATTTAAAACTGCAATATAATTGAATTTCATTCACATGTGTTTCATAAACACATAATGCTTTCTGGATTACAGTCCGCCATCAAAATTATACATTTAATTATTCTAGCTGATGTGAGAAAAGGCTATAAACGATCCGCCACCTGCAGGATCCGCACATGCGATAGCCTACTAGCCGGGACAACTTCTTTATGTTTAAAGACGTGACGTAATGACGCAGCACCATGCTCGAATTTCCCGCAAAAACCTAACCGTACCACTCAAATTAGAAAACATTATCATAAGTTAACCATTGTGAATCGGCTAAAGTAAGGCAATAGTTTTGAACACTGGTTGGTTATGTACTTGCTCAAATATTGATTTCGTATCATTTTTAACCAAAAGAAGTTACGGACTGCAGCTTTAATTAACAGATATGGGTGTCATGCCATAACATTTTTAATACGACTGACTTTATATTTAATGTGAATTTAACATTAAAAGTTAATGTGAATAAAAACATTCTAAGTTAGGCTACTAATCATAATTTAATTGTACAGAAAGAGAGTAAAGAACATTTACATTATCAAAGAACATTTTCACTGACAGT